ACTCAGTGAGACCTTGTCACTAAATAAAATACAAAATAGGGCTGGGGCTGTGGCTCAGTGGTCGAGTGCCCCCTGAGTTCAATCCCTAGTACCAAAAATAAAAAATAAAAAAAGAAAGAAACATGTCTCCTCTCAACATATCTTAACRCACACACATACACCTCAAAAAACAAACAAAGAAACCCTGCTATTCTTTGCCCTGTCTCATTCCCAGAGACCGATAATTATTTTCATTTTTTTAATGTCAAGTGTCTTAATGTCCTCTTCTCATTGGGACTTCTTTTGTTTCTTTCCATGTTTTTTTCATTGGTGCCCGGAACTTCTTTTATAATAGAAAAGACTAAAGATTTTTCAAACTACAGAGTATGATGGGACAGTTTTTTTCATTGTGCATTGTTCATTGTATATTGTAGTAAATAGTGCACACTAAATGAATGGCTAGAACAAAACATGTTTTTTTACTCTGTAACATGGGGTGGAAATTTTAATTATTGTACTATATTGCTGCACACTTTTTGTGGATCTTTATGTTATTTCAGATATTCATCAAAATGTTATGTTTAAGGTAAGATACTTTGTCAGTTAAATGTTTCTGCTAGTATCAAGGACAGCCCTTTACACACAGAAACCTACAGGAAATATTTGGCAGCAGTTTCATTATAGATACCCAGCTAGCATTACTATACTGTGCATATGTGTATATACTTACGATATTTAAACTTTATAATCTGCTTCATAGAGTAATTTTTTAGAGCTTAAAATTTTTACAAATAATAATCTACTAGAAATGTTCACTAACATGTTATGTCTGCCATCTTCTTAAACATAGTTTAACTTTTTCTTACGTTCCATAATAGTCCCCTTTTGAACTTCATTAATAAAAATATTCTGCATGTAATTTTAAATTTTCTTATTTTATGCCTTCAGAGTGGTTTGCCAGTGGTTCCTTTCTGCTGAGAATATTGGATCTTCCTTATGCCTTTGTAATTTCTAGTATCTTCCCTTTTTCAGGTTAGTTCTATCATACTGAGAGCTGAGAAAACAGCAGTAGTTTTTAAAAGTTAAATAATGAATAAGAGCGAGTAAACTCTGAATGAAGAAGTCTAGTACAATTGATTTTATGAGAGCTATCTTTGAACTGAGGCTGGCAGACGATTGGCATTTACACAAAGCAATAATGTACTTACATTTCATTTAATCTATTTCCTGCCTATTTTAGGAGATCCCTACAGAATTAAACAAATTTTATCAAATTAGATTCCTAATATAGTTCTGGTTTTGCCTCAATATTTTGTGTATGATAATGTGAGTGTATACACACACATACATGATATGTATGCATACATGATATATTAGCAAATGTGTTTTACCTCATGGGTTTTGTCTAAGCCCATGCATTAGCACCTAAAGACAACTGAGGATCATCTGAGCCACTTTGAAAAGAGAGTGATTGATAGGAAGCAAAAAATATTTATAATTAGAGAAAAGCAGACCTTCAAAATTCACTTACATAGTATGTGTGCAGCTACTGGGTCTCTTCATGATTTTTCTCCTCTGAAGATACTGTAGAATGCTGGTAGGAGGGACTTCAGGATATGGTGGTGCCCCTGTCAATATGGAAAGAATTCGAGTAGCAAGAGAACTTTAGTGTCATAAAATATGAACTTCAAATAACATTACTCTTCATTCACTTGGGCTAATTGTTAGCAAAAGATAAATCCATAGGGAAAATACTAGATACAAGAGAGTTGTCCCCTGCTGTTCTAGTAAGGATGTAGCATAGTGAATTTGGGGAAAAGAGAATCTTGAGTCTTTAGGAAAGTAATGAAATAATGCAAAGTAAGAAATAAGACCTTTCCTCCACTCTTCATAACATGGAAAGGTGCTGCAGTTTCTTAGTTGAATCGATTAATAAGTCTGAAGAAAACATGTTTACACAAAATCAGTGTAGGAATTATCCTTTGGATAAGAAAAAATCTCTTGGAATTAATATTGCTGGATTGAAAGAAAGGAAGAGAGCAAAAGAAAGTTAAGAGAAGGTAAGGGAGGGAAGGAGTAGAGTAAGAGGGAATCATCACTTTACAAGACTTCTCAGGAATCAGGCTTGGAAGTCATATCAACCCATTTAATCTTCAGGCCTGTTCTAAAACACTTTCTCAAAAAAAAATCAACCCCCAAATAAACATACTTGCATATTTGCATCCAGCCACACACTATTGGAGATCATGCTTACCTAGAGTCACCATCTCATAAAGCAGGATCCCAAAGGACCAGCTGTAAAAGAAATAAAACCATCTACTTAACTTCTATTTTTTCTTTCCTAGAGAGCTCACTTAAATATAGAAACAGTCAGTAACAATACCATAAAGAAGGTAATAAAGAAGAATGAAGGGGTATCTGATAAAATAAGCAAAGTAATAATGCATTTCTGGCTAGGTGCAGTGGCTCATACCTATAATCCCAGACAAAGGATGATTGCAAGCTCAAGGCCATCCTGGGCAATTTAATGAGACCTTGTCTCAAATAAAAATAAAAAACAAAAAGGCTAGGAATGTAGCTCAGTTGTAGAGTGCCCTGGGTGCCACAGACAAAGGAAGAAAGAGAGAGAAACATGCCTGTACAATTCCCTTAGATTCTAATTTCTTTGAAGATTGGATGTATATTTCTTCTATATTTAACATTAATAGATGTTTACTATTATTTGTGTGTGTGTGTGCGCGTGCGCGCGCACAATCACATAAATCCACTCACCCATAGAGAAATTTCTTTTGCATCTTTTTTCATTCTTTCCATTCCTTTCTGCTAAGGTTTTAGTCTTGTTCTTAGCACAAGCCAAACAAGGTTATCATATATCCTCTATTTTCTCAGTAAATCTAATTGCCCAAAACTAGGAAAAATATTAACAGAGCAAGCTTTATATGTTGTTGGAATGAGTATTTGCTTAAGCAATATGATTTGAAAGATGTATATAATAGTATAGTAAAAATCATTAAATGAGTAATTTTTATGACTAATTTTTAGTCATAAAACAGATACATTACAACATGTATCTATTGAAAAGCAGATATTAGTAAAACATTGATGGAAGTTTTTAACCAAAATCATATTAACTAATGTACTAAATTTCCTCTACCACTCATGACACTCATAGCTATTAGGATACTCTACATTCCATCTCTGAGCTTCTTTAAGCACTTGAGTTATATGGTTACCAAAAATAGTCAATTGTGATTCTTTACAAGCCTGTTTACACCAATTGTACATGTAACTGTAATTATATAAGCAAATAAATACTATAACGGATGATTGAACATAAATATTATCTCTGTGAAAAGTAAGTTGAATGCCTTGAAAACAATCTATAAAAGTATACTACTAAAAAGAAAGCGTTATGATGAGAATAGGGTCATGCAAAGTTGTGGTGAATAATAAGCACTAACCTCCCACTATTTGATCCTGTCCCTGCCCTATCTTTGACAAGGGGGACTCCAGCTCTGGTACATGTGACCTCCTGGCATTTTCTGGAATTTGCCTGTCTTATCCAAATCTCTAATGAATGACTTATACAAGAATCTGTCCGTGCCTTATGAAAATCTCTCCGTGAGCCAGGTGCAGTGGTGCATACCTGTAATCCCAGCAACTCAGGAGGCTGAGGCAGGAAGATGAAGTTCAAAGCCAGCCTCAGCAACAATGAGGTGGGAAGCTATTTAGTGAGACCCTGTCTCCAAATAAAGTACAAAATAGGGTGGGGGATGTGGCTCAGTGGTTGAGTGCCCCTGAGTTCAATCCCTGGTAACCTCCCCCAAACAAAGAAGGAGGAAAAAGAAAAACAAATAAAACTTTGGCTTGTTGAGGTATTGTAAAATTGTGTGGGTGAGAACAGTAGAAAATTAAAATAATAATAATAACAAGTATGCAGTCAAATTGTTGTGCAAATGTTTTTAAGTTTCTCACTGCACTTAGAACCATCCCAAACTGGAACCCAAAGTTAGTCATTAGAGGTGCTATTAGACAAGAAACAGGACATATGACTTCATTTAGAAGCCCCGTTCCCCCATAATGCAGCTTTTCCCCTTCTTCAAAAGATTTATAAATAAATTGTAATGCTGTCATATGTAACAAATTAGAATAAAAAGAATTTTTTAAAAATTGATAAAGAAATACACATGTATATGTTTTAAGTTAAAATTAAGAATTGTGGGGCTGGGGATGTGGCTCAAGTGGTAGTGTGCTCGCCTGGCATGCATGCATGCGGTGCGGGTTCAATCCTCAGCACCACATACAAACAAAGATGTTGTGTCCGCCAAAAACTAAAAAATAAATATTAAAAAAAATTCATTCTCTCTCTCTCTCTCTCTCTCTCTCTCTCTCTCTCTTTTAAAAAAAGGATTGTGGTCTGATTATTTTTACTTTAGGGATTCTTTACTTAACTAGTCTTCTAATTAAGTGGGCTCACACCCTTCAGGTTTAAAACAAAACTACTAGATTAAGTCCTCAGATATCGATGTGAGTAATCTTTGCAATTTTTTTCTTTCCTAATGTAAGCTTCTAATCCAATACAGAAGGAATGCTTGAAAAAGCATTCAAAGGGGATTGCAAGCAGAGACCAAACATGTACTCTGTATCATAACATTTCTTCTTGAGAGTATTTCTGACTTCTGAGTATAGATCTCATTTGTAGACATACTTGACAATACACCCAATAACAACCAGGGAGAACACTCAGGTCATGAAAAGAATATATCCAAAGGGCAGCAACAAACCGTACATGTCTCCTCTGATGCCAGCAGGTCTCAGGAGAAGCCGTTCTGGGGCAAGCCACTTGAGAGGGATGGTCCGAGCAGAAGAGATGGCTCCAAGGGCATGAACTTCATAAGCCAATCCCAATCCACAGAGTTTAGCAGTCAGATCACTTTGGATCAGGATATTCCTGGCTGCCACATCCCCATGGAACAGATGCTTATCCTGCAGAAATTCCTGACAGCATAGGTCAAAGATAATCAGCTATCTGAAGGTCACTGCTCAGCGTGAAGATGAGACATACTAGGAAGCCTCAAAAAGATAAGGGCACTTCCTACTCTAAACAAGTCTCATTATAATGACATCACTTCCAAAGCATGCTAATGGATCAGATATTTTACCTTATGTTTAAGATGACCAAACTGAGCAAATAATCCAAATGACATTAATGCTGGATTTATTTACTTATTAAGTTTTGTAGTGCTGAGAATCAAACCCAGAGCCTCATGCATGCAAGGCAAGTGCTGCTACACCCTCATCCCTAATACAGGATTTTGAAAGTATTAATTCCAAATTCCATCTGCAATAAAATGACTCCCTTTCTGTTAAAACATTTCAACGTCTTATATGTATTCTTTATTCAGCAATTGTTCCTTTGTTCTGATGTTTGCATTACATGTTTGCTTTCTTTTTTAGAATACAGGTGCAAATACCTCTACCTTTTTATTACTACTGTCCAACTATTTCTGGCACATAAGAAATGCTTGTTAAAACCCATGTCATGGGGCTGGGGATGTGGCTCAAGCGGTAGCGTGCTCGCCTGGCATGCGTGCGGCCCGGGTTCGATCCTCAGCACCACATACAAACAAAGATGTTGTGTCCGCCGAGAACTAAAAAATAAATATTAAAAAACAAAACAAAATAAAAAACCCATGTCATATCAAATTCAAAACTTACTTTATATACTTTATCTTTTAACTGTTTGACCTCCAACATTTTTGTGAGCTTAGCCAAACTGATTGCTATTTATCTATTTGGTTGATGATCAAACAGGCTTAGAGAGAGTGACTTGTCCAAGGTTAGGTAGTGATAGTGTTGGGATTGAGTACCACATCATCTGACTACCACTTTCTATTAAGTCCCACTGAAGATTAGTTGTCATCTACCAGATATGAACTCAGTTAGATATTAAAAAGGGAGTAGATTTCATAGCAAAGTTAAGTATCATACTATTGGATTTATGTAAAATTTTATCTTATTGTCTCCCTAAAATAACTGGATTAACTGATTTAGGGAAGTATCTTTTGGATAAATTTAAATGATTACACAAAACTACAGAGTAACTAAGTGATAGTAACTAGAGTAAGGTATTCTAATTCACAGAAAATACAACAAAAACTCTACCAATAATTCTATTTTTTATTTAATGACCCATTTTAGTTTTTATTCTACTAATAGTTCTTGAGTCAAGTTCCAAATTAGAATTGCCAGAAAGCTTTTTTAAAACATAAGATTTTCGCCCTGAATTCACTAAACCATAATTTAGGACAAGAAATCTGATAGCCTATATTGTAAAGAAGTATCAAAATTATTCTAGTGCAGACTTTAAAGCATTTGAGACCCACTATGACTGATGGCCTAGATTTGCTGGGATCTTTTCTCCTCCGGTACAAATCTACTCAAAGTTGATGGAGAAATCAAGAAGTTGTACATGGCTAAAAAGATAGAGGTTCCAAATTATGATTGCTAAACAAGGATAGTATAAAAATTTTAAAGAGTGAGCTGTAATTTCCAATTGTTGATGAAGAAGCAAACAGTGATGACTATTTCTCTCTCATGAGGTTTTAGAAAAAAAAATTATATGGTCATGAGAAGAATTAAGAAATGTGTTGACTTTGAGTTTGTTAAAAGTAATAACAAATAGTATGATATTGCCTGTTATAGGTAATATAGGGCCCTGATGAGTGCATTTATTTCATCAATTAGCCTCATAAGGTACCTCAACAATTAAGGATCACAAGCAAAGTAGACTATAGTCTGACATCCTAACTTTATCAAGGGATCATACCAGCTAAGTGCTCCATACGCTGAAGATAATATTAAATATATGGTGTGTACCCATCCTGTCCATTGGGAGCTTCAGATACAACTCTTGCTCTTTTCTCACCTTCTTAACATCTTTTTTTCCTTCACTTCCTCCTGATTCTGCTTAGATCCCTGGTATATTTCACACATTAGGGTGGCAAGATATATCAAAGAGTTAAAAATGGTAGCTTCACAGAACCTTGATTTTCTGTAGCAAATGCTAATTTTAAACACAATTATCTGAGTGATTTCATAGCGTAATCTAAATTTCCTGAATGATTCACATAAAGATAAATATTTCTCTTAAACTTAGGTTGTTTTAAAATAAAAGAGTGATTCTATTGTCTCCCCTTCACATTCTTCCTCTTTCACTTGTTTCTTATTCTTTTTTAAGTATGTGCACTCCCTATCACATTCATTATCAAATCAAGTTTCCAACCAAACATGTTCCAAACCAGTTTGTCTTGTTTTCTAGATATAAATTTGTACACTTCTGGCTCTGTAGCCTTTCATCCATTCTGTTTCTCTTCCCATATCTTCTCTCAACTTGCTCCCCAAATTTCCCCTTTCACATTAATTCTTAAAAGTATACATAGATAAATAAGAATATAAAGCAAATGGGCATATAGCTCTTGGTACTGTCTTTTGAATGTTAAGATTGAGGAAACTTTTAAAATCTTCCCTGTTCCTTCCAGAAATCCTAAGCTGACTACCTCCTCCCTGGAAATACCAATCCTATAGTAGATTATCTAAATAATTTCTCAAAGAAGGAACTAAAATTAATTATCAGTGTATGACTATCTGCCCCTGATCTCTATCTAATTTAAAATATATGCCCCATTTAGGAATCTGAACATGAGAACAATGACACCAAATACTAGGCTAATGATAAAAATCCCCACCCTTGGTTTTTATTTTGCCTAGTCTTACCAGACCCAAAAGGACCTGCTTTCCAATGTGATAGACTTGCTTTTCTGTGAGATCATAGAGAAGACCATCCATGGTCATTACATCCTAAAAAGAAAGAGAAAAAACATTATATCAAAGTGGTATTAACACATTTGATTTTTAAAAACGTATAATAGATATAATCTGAAATGCAAATATATGAAGGCTAAGGAAAACACACAAAAACAAAGGATAAAAAGTCAAAGAGAGATTGATCAGAGAAGTCTTCCGGCAGAAAAGTACCATGATTTATTGGACTGGAAGACTAATGAAGAATAGAAATGAACCCTGGGAAGAATGACAAGCATATATAAGGTTATCCACTATCATTTTTCTGGAGCAGTGTGTCTGTGTCCATGTGGTTAATAGCACATCACCTCAATGCATTCTAGCTTTTACAGAAGGCCTGTAAAGCACCAATTTCCATGGAATATAGAGTGAGCAAAATAAACATAGTTACTTCTGCCACTTATTTTGTGTATATGTGTGACTCATAATCAAATAATCCTATGTGAATTAGAAGCAAATAATCATAAAGAAATTGTTAGAGATGTTTAAGTACCATGAAAGAACTGCACAGAGGGTTAAAAGAGTATATGATGGTAGGAAGAAGAGAACTGATCAGTTGGAAAGATGGAAACAGGTTCTGATGAAATCTGAAGAATAAGTGAATATTAACTGCAGAGAAGAGAAAGAAGTAGTTCYGTGTCAAAAGAAAATTATATGAGAAGGACATCAGTTGTACAATATAATCAGTATATTATAAAGATTTATTAATATTGAATTTTCATGTCAGCAAGTGAGAAACTAGGGAAACAGTGGCCCTTCAGAAAGAGGACTATGCAGAGAACTAGGAAAATTATAAGGAAAAGAAATACCATCTAAGTCTGGAAAATTATGAACATTTTATGGGGTTTTTGGGGGGTGGGGGTCCCAGGGATGGAATTCAGGGGCAATCAACCACCAAGCATAACCCCAGTCCTATTTTGTATTTTGTTTAGAGACAGGGTCTCACTGAGTTGCTTAGCACCTTGCTCTTGCTAAGGCTGACTTTGAAGTCTCTATCCTCCTGCTCAGCCTCCTAAGCCGCTGGGATTACTTATCCCACCGTGCCCAGCATGTTTGTTTATTTTTTAATGTGAGTTTGAGGTATAAAAACATAAAAGCTGAATGCTTTCCTCCTCAATCCTGGAACACTAGAATAATGTTAAAGAAAAGACACTTAAATAGTAACAACAGAATTGAAATCATCATAACAAAAATAGTTGTCATTATAACAATTTTTACATACATAATATCATTATTGTCATCATAACAATTTTTACATACATAATGTCTCTGATTTTTCTGAACAATGCTCATACCTTTTTAATTAGTTAATTAATTTATCTTAATTAGGTATGACAGTATAATGCATTTTGATTCATTGTACACAAATGTAGCACGACTTTTCACTTCTCTGGTTGTACACAATGTAGTCATACCATATATGCAGTCATACCTAAGGTAATGATGTCCATCTCATTCTACCATCTTTCCTGCCCACATGCACCCTCCCTCCCCTTTGCCCAATCAAAGTTCCTCTATTTTTCCCATTCCTCCACCCCCATTATGTATCAGCATCCACTTATCAGAGAGAACATTCAGTCTTTGTTTTGGGGGATTGGCTTACTTCGCTTAGCATGATATTCTCCAACTAAACTCCAGAATATATAAGCAACCCAATCAATAAATGGGATAAGGAGCTGAACAGACACTTATCAGAGGAAGATATACATTCAAATAACAAATATATGAAAAAATGTTCAACATCTCTAGTAATTACAGAAATGCAAATCAAAACTACTCTAAGATTTCATCTCACACCAGTCAGAATGGCAGTTATTAAGAATACAGACAACAATAAATATTGGCAAGGATGTGGGGGGAAAGGCACAGTCATACATTGCTGGTGAGACTGCAAATTGGTGCAGCCACTATGGAAAGCAGTATGGAATAGAACCACCCTTTGACCCAGCTATCCCACTTCTCAGTCTATACCAAAAGGACTTAAAATCAGCATACTATATAGCAACACAGCCAAATCAATATTTATAGCCACTTAATTCACAATGTCGAAACTGTAGAACCAACCTAGATCCCTTCAATAGATGAATGGATAAAGAAACTATGGTATATATACACAAGGGAACATTACTCAACATTAAAAGAGAATAAAATTATGACATTTGCAGGTCTCTGACTTTTTGTAATAATTTATTATTCCCATTTTACAGATTTAGAAACTCAGGATCAGTGAGGTAACTTGCCAAAAGTTACAAGCTAGTAGGTGAGATCAAGAGTTCATACTATAAACACATTGCCCAATATGATAGCCATTAATCACATGTGTCTATTTAAACTTACATTAATCAAGATTAAATAAAATTAAAAATTTGGTTTCTCAGTTACACCCGCTACATTTCAGGTGTTCAACAGCACATGTGACTGGGGGCTACCAGTGAACATAGCAGATATGGAATATTTTAATTACTGCAAAAAGTTCTCTTGGACATTGATACTCAGTTACTCTTATACTATTATATTGTCTCCATGTTTTGTCACTTGTGATGCTAATTGATATGTGAACAGCTAATCAACCAGGTCAAGCTTTGCCCCCTAACACTGCTCACCCGGCGACAGGTCCAGAGAAAGCTGAGCAGGTCCCCCTGGGCCACATCCTCCAACACCATATAGAGTGGCAGTCTATCTGTGCAGCAGCCTTCCAGTTGTACTAGGTTCTTGTGTTTCCCCAGGTACTGATAGAACTGGATTCGTCCAACAAAATCCTGCACCTCATGGAGCCCAGCAGGTTCTGCAGAGGATAGAAGAGCCAGGGCAGTGAGCAGTGAGCTCAACCAATTAAGAGGAAACAAGGAGCAAAAAACCATTTCAGATGGTAACTCTGAAGACCTCTCAGAGGAGTAAGTGCAGACAAAAAGTAAATAGAGGACCAATTAGAAGATAACGATGCTCAATGTCACTGACACTTTATCAAAGATATCATAGACTACATCTTAGAAATGAATAGGCTTTCCTCTTCCTAAATAGGCAAATTTCTATTCTTATTGAAACCCTGGAACTATGTGGGCATTTTGATTAATATTATTGTTTATCTTATCTTTTTTCTATTTTGTTTATTCATTATTACCAGTCCACATTATGAGTATCAGCAAAAGAGAGAGAGAGAGGTGGGGGGAGAAATGCAGTATCAGGAAGGAGTATCAAACAGGAAAGAGAAATTTAAAAGCAACCTCAGAATCCTAGTCCAAGAAACATCTAATATGAAACAGTCTGTTTTAACAGCCTTAGTAGGTAAAGATGAGTTAGGGATACAAAGACCCCAAAGAATATCATTTTTGTCTCAACCTTCCACTCTTAATTGCTTTCTTCTATACAGAGTTGTGATCACAATATTTGTTGAAAAATATCTTAATGTTTGCAAAGCTGTTGACATTTATTGTTAGGGATTCACAAGTGAAAAGTAAAAAGGGAAGGGAAGTCTAACACTTCTCCTTTTACCTTTTAAAATCTTGAGGACAATATTTTTGGGCTTAGCAGGGTCCCCAGTACACATCTTGGCTCGATAGATGATCCCATAACTGCCATTATAGATCTGCTCCAAAACTTCTGAGAATTGCTCTCGGGGCACCTGCAGCTTAGACAAAGCAGATGTGGAAGCTCTCAGAAAACTTTCCACTGATGTCTCCTTAAGTGGCACCAGCACTTTTCCTCCATGTCCTGTTGCTTCCCAACTTGGACTCCTAGATGGAGGCCCAGCAGCACTGCCTAGAATAAAGAGATGATATCAATCACCAGTTTCTTGCTCTGAGAACTCCAGAAAAGCCTAGAATGAACCAGCCAGGAAGTTCTTTTAGTAGTTTTACCTCTGGTCAATGGAGGGATATCTTCTGATGCTGCTCTATTAATTGGTATCAACACCAAATTTGTAGAACCTTTATAATAATCCCCTTTACTTCTGGGAAAACTCAGGATGGACCCTTGTAAAGTAGTGATGACATTTTCTTTCTGTCTTTCTCAGGATTATAATTCTATATTCTCCATAAGTATGATATGGAGACAAGGGAGTTCCTGAACAGATTCAAAACCACAGATACTTAAAGGCAGTGGTAATTGCCAGTGGAGACTACCATTTAAGTCAGTTATGTGGCTTCCAAATTTGGAATAAACATATAGATAACTTCCATAGCTGTGGCTTATCCTTTCTTCCTCAAGTTATCTTAAAAGTCAAATTATTCCATATTTCATTGAGTATTGATTTAAGTCTTCTGATACGTTCTGCCTTCCTTAGCTGGCATGAACTTTCCTCCGTTTGGAAAAGAAAGATTCATTCTTCTCATTAAATTTACCATCACTCGTTAACCCATCCCTTTATTCAACAAATATCACTAGCTATATACCAGATACTTTTCTAGGTGTTGGGAATAGGTGAAGTCATAATTTAACAAGGTTACCTTCTCGTGATCAGGCAGAAAATAATGAGTCAATAAGTGTTATAGAGGAAATGACGAAAGAAGAAACATCAGTGATGCTACTTTATCCACAAAGATTTCATTTCAAGAAAGGCCTTTCTGATACAATGACATCGGAGAAAGGTATGGAAGCAATTAGGTAGCAAACCACATTGATGTCAGAAAAAGTACTGTAGCCAAAGGGAACAAGATGTTCAAAGGCACTGAGAAAAGAACATACTTAAAGTATTTGAGAAATAGCAAGGAATCTGGTACAGCAGAGCCAAGTAGGATTGTTGGAGAGTTGTAGGACATAAGGCAAGAGAGGCTCAGATCATATAAGACCATGGGAAGAGCTTTGACTTTTTTCATTCTGAGCAAGATAGAAAGTTATTGAGGTATTTCAAGGAGAGAATTAACAGACGGATGAATGCCTTAAAAGAATCATCTGGCTTCTCTGAGGAGACACAGGCAGGGCCAAAAGTAGGTAAAGCTGTTAGGAGCATATTACTATAGTCTATGAGACATGAGATTGGCTTAGGTTAACTTTAAAGATAGAGTTGAGTGTATCTGCTTACGGGTTGAATATGTGAAAAAAAGAGGGAGTCACAGATACCTACAAGGTTTTAGATGAAAACATAGAAGGCTGGATTTGCGATTTACTTAGATAAGGAGGATGGTTTTAAGGGCACACTTGTAAGGTAATTTCAAGACCTTGGTTTTGTGTGGATGCATAACCRATGTGATTCCGCAATCTGTATACAGGGTAAAAATGGGAGTTCATAACCCACTTGAATCAAATGTATGAAATATCATATGTCAAGAGCTATGTAATGTTTTGGACAACTAATAATAAAAAAAGACCTTGGTTTTGAACATATTACCTACAAGATGTGTATTATATTGAAACTTCAAAGTAGTTGATTTAATGTAAGAATCCAGAGTTCCAGGAACCGTAATCAGAATAGAAAAAGCATTTGAATCTATAAGAATGAAAATGATATATAAGCATAAAAGTGATTTTAATTTTTTTTTCTAAAAAAGTACTTCAAGAAAGAAGAAGCATGAATGTGTCTCAAATGCTTTTGTCAGGTTAAGCAAGATGGACTTGTCAAAACAGGTACCATTAATGAGCTTGGAAAGAGTTGCTTTGGAGGATGATAGCTATAACAAAAAGTCTTATTTGGGGGTTCAAAAGAGAATGTGATAAGCAGAAGGGGTGAGTTTATTCAATTCCTTTGAGAAGTTTTCAATAAAGGTGAACTTATGAAACAATTGACATAAAATTTGGACGAAGACTGAGGATCAGCCACTATAGAGTTTTATATCACTGTCAGGATTTTTTCTCCTTCTCTATACTCTTAGCTTCCTCCATGAGCTGATTCTCTTTCATTGCATGTTCAATGATACTCCACAAGAACCTCTAAGCCTTTCCTACCCAGTACTTCAAAGACTAGAATGAAGGCCACCCTTTCTCATCATATATTTTTGAGGCATAGAGTAGGGATAGAATGGATCATAGAGTAGAAAGTTATCCTTCAAGGATGTTAATAAAGCCCTGAGCTTTATCTTTTAGACCTTCTTCCTTAATCCTTAGACATTCACATAGTCAAAATTTGCTAGTTCAGTTGGACAAAGAGGACAGAAACAGGTCTCATGAGGCCTCTATTTCCATTTTTCTTTTAGTCAACAGGCACATGTGGAGTTCTAACTCCTGACCTCCTAGAGGTCTCTCCTCTCCACTCCAAAGAGGCAGCCCTTGTCTCTGCCATTGAAGGTACCTAAACTCTTGGACTTGAATCTGTTGAGATATGGCTCATCTTTTTCCTAATATTCATCTTTCTTGAGCACAAAGTTTGAGTTTTACCTCGAATTCCAGGACGCTGCTGTCGGGATCTTTGTTCTCTTATAAAAAGCCACAAGATGACTGCAAGAAGGATGAGGAAGAGGCCAACCAGGAGAGTCGGGACAATGATCACTTCATACTGCTGCTCCTGGACCACTGGGCAGGCAATTAATAGCAAGGAAAGAAGATTAAGAAGCCTGACCTGATGCCACACAACTTTCCCTACCCATCAGCCTCAGCCCATCATAGGTGAAATTGTCGGCTCTTCTGCCTTTCACTGCAGTTACATTTAATGTATGTAATAATGGGAGCAACTCTAATCAGAAGCCCCAGTGTTCCTGTTTCTTAACACATCAACTGTATACTATGCTTTTTCTGTTATTTTCCTACTGAGAAAGAGAATGCCACATCTGAATCTCTGATCAGCACTCTCCCTGCCCCACCCTGCAAAGATAATGAACGACCTCTGTCCACATTCTTTTAATACCACTTTATTCATTCCTACTAGAAATCAAAGCATCTTCCTTCTAGAATCTATAAAGACTTTAGTCTCCATAATCCTAAAATCAAAGGTCAGGCATTTGTGGCATCTGAACTTACCACACAATTTGTCGCTGAGACTGCATTCCAGTAGCATCCGTGCCATACCCCTCTTCTCACCCATTGCTACAGGGCTGCTGCTTCTCTGCTAGGCCCACGGAAAATGACCAGAACTCAACCACAACCGTGAGTAATTTCCAAGGATTGAATGATTCTGGGGGAAAAAATGAAGCACACATAGGAATTTTAAATGTCTCTATGGATCACTAGTTTAGTAAATAGCACCTCTCTGAGCCATCCATTTATATCAGTCCATCTGCCTGATATTCAAATTGAAAGAATCTTTTATTTCCCCCTCTGGCATTTTCCCTATTATACAGTTTTACCGCCCTGATCTAATCTTTCCTTTCATCCTATTGTTACCAAAATTATTTTAAAGGCCCCCTTCCTAACTCTTTTGCTACTATGCTCAAGTACAGGTTCATAGCATCTGTCCTGAACAATTGTTTCTCATGGGTTATGTAAGCAAAATCAACATCCCCTATAGTCTTTAAGTATGTCATGTTTTCTTTAACTCTGCATCACATTTTTTTGTTCAGCATAAGAGTAAGATTTATTCAAGTGCAAATAGAAATATCTCCCACAAGGTGAGAGAGACTCCCAATTAGGGGTTGCTCTTTGCATCACATTTTTAAAACAACCATTTCATTTTTATACAAAATTAATTCAGAGAGTGAATAAACAGGGTCAGATGTCAAGAGAGATGAGTTATGTGTTTGCTTTCTTTCTCTGAAACATCTGCACCTTCACAATCAATGAACAGATGGCATATATCAATAAAAACTATTTAATCCTCCGCTCTCAGGGCTTCAATGAGACTCCTCTGCTCATATCACAGACCTGCTCACATTCTGACCAGGACAAATATTAAAGTGTCAGTACCAAGCCATCTTCTCTTTCTCCAATTGTCTATGAATAAAAAGGAAATATATTCAAATGTTTCAAAAATAATAACATAAAATGTTAGAGCTATATTATGTTGTCTTCTATTATTACATTACATGCTGCACTTTACTATTGATACTAATGATCACAGTGTTACTTATTGAGACAGAGTCTCTCTGTGCCTGAAAGATGTCTCCCAGCTCCCACCTCACAATTTTTTTTACTCTTCCTGGAGCTCTATGAGCTTATAAGCAGAGATCATAGGTTAAAAAACACCCTAACAATTCAGAAGACAGGTGTTTGGTTGACAAAAAATTCCAGGTAAACAGGGGTAGCCAAAATTGCACCCACAGAGAAATTATTATCTGGGTTTGTACACAGCAAGGGATTTAAGAAGTCAATGAATAGTTGGACAACAAAGTCCACCTCCTCTAGTTTATAAGCCTCAAAGGYGAGAGAAAGATAATTGAGAGTGTCCATGGTTAACAAGTCCCTATAGAAGGAAAGGAACTAGCAAAAGCACAGAGATCAGTGCCTGGAGAGGGAAGAGCAAAGGAGAGAAATTCTTAAAATTAAACATTAGCTCAGTAGCGTGAATTCAGAAGCTAATTGAAAATTTCTCACTGCTATTGTCATTTTTATTTTATTTTCCTCTTGCTTCATTTTCAGTGTATAATTAGATGTGATTATTTTCATTCAGGGAGCAGCCAGTTTAACAAGTTTGGCTCTGGTGGGGGGGGGGGGAATAAGTGCTCTACGCATAATCTTTCTATCATGGTACAAATGGAAAAAAAAGGGTCAGTCAGAAGCCAACTCAGACTTTTGAGCTCTGCCCAGAAACCAAACTACACACCCACTAATACACACTGAACGAAGTAATCTGAAGCCCTGATTGCACAGTACCTGCTCTCTGTACTGCTCATGGTTATACCCCACAAATATAAGTGCATGGCCAAACATACCTTCTGCCAGTTACTCAAACCTATGGTTAATTTCCTGGATAGCCCAATTAATACAGAGCACCCACCTTTAGGTACAGTATGGCCTTCTATTGCACTTCCTGAACCAGTTTCTTACCATCATCTTTATTTGTTATAGGGAGTTTAAAGAGGCTAGGCTTATGAACAACAAGCAGCCCAATGAAAATGGGTGCTAGAGCAAGGAGAAATTGTGAATTCTGATAACTCATTTGAACTTTGCAAAATATGTCTATATATAGCTTGTCACTAGTTTACACATACCTACCTATATCTATAGTGCCAAATCTCTTCAGGCAGGGTTCTAACTAAAACAAGATTATTGCCCCACTTGTAGATATTATTCCTTAGCTTTTTTCATCTCAATTTCTTCAGGTTTCTTTTAGCATTTTCTCTTAGATTTATCTCCCCTCTTAAATTGAGAATCCAGAGGAGGAAATAACACAATGAGGAAGGAGATACCAATAGGAAAAGAATGAGAGTGAAATGGGGAATGAAAGCCACCTGAAATATTTGCAGTTGTCTGAAGTCCACAGAAGTTAATGATTATAATTAGAATGGAACTAAATATCAATATTAACTCTCCAGACTTTCATACATACTCACAATACAAGCATAATGACACACTGAATTTCTGGGCCTGTTTTAACGCACACAAAGATAGTTCTATTTGCAACAGTAACACAACTCTTATTACATACATTTCTGTTCAGTTAGTACAATATCATTTCCCAGACACAATCACTAATTAACCTGTGAGTTTCCAGATGAAACTTATATTCCCCAAATATATCTGCACATCACATTTTAAAAAATCAAATCCATTCTCCTAAACTCTGTTGTGAAAAATTCCCTAACTGACCTCAGAATGACATCTGGTCCTGTTCCAGGTGACTCAAACTGTTTTGCCTGCCTCACCCAAGTCTCACCACCTGCTTCTCCACTCAAGGGGATCTGCCAACCATGTTTTCTTTAGACAGACAAGCGATCTACACTCCTAGGTGGATGCCACACTGGGTCCAGGGAGATATTAATGGTTATGGGCTGTGGGGCAGAGCCCGCAGGCTAACAATGGGGAGAGTAAACCATGGAGATGACAGCCCTCAGTCAGTCTTCTTGTATAGCCACTCAACCTGTTCTTCTCCTCCATATTTCATCCTTGACCTTGAGCCACCTAGCATTATTTGCTGGAGTTAACAGATTAACTTGGAAGTGAGATTGAGAAGAACTCAGATCTAGAGCATTCCAGAATCACTTATCTACAACATCCTGTAAAACAAGTTGTCCTTCTGCTGTTTTCAGATCTTATATGCATATATTGAGCATTTGCACTGTGCTAGGTATTATGTTGGAAAATATCATATCTAGGATGAAAGGTAGAAGTGAAGGGATATATGATTTCTATATGATTAAATTATAGATCAGCCAATGATAAAAATTAATGGACAAATAAATGGAAGAGCAAGCATACTCTTGCTTGGTCTAGGTCTTTTATTTACAATCCCAATGTTCCTTAAACTATTAAACATATGTATTTGTCATTCAAATTAACAAAACCAAAAAATGTCAAGAAGAAATTATATCAGAATCCATAAGAATCATGAAAACCAAATTTTACCAACAAACACACCATAATTTAGAAAAAAAAAACACATGAATAAAATCTGTCTGTATGTATATTCTTTAAAGTTCTTACAGGACACAGATGATGTCTGCATATCTGTCTTCAAAGCATTTAAAAAAAAAAAAGTAGAATCAAAATTCTTTCAGTACTCACCAAAATATGGAACCTTGGATTGTTTTCACCATTAATTTTCCTGTGTCTGACCCTCAATCCTATGTCTATCTTCTGCTTTTTTAGTGAAAAAAACCAATTCCCAGGATTAGCACTCTTTCGCTATGAGCAAAAAAAGTCAGGAATGGGCATCAAATCCCAAGGGACACAACACTGGCCAAGGAATTGGGATCCCTGGCCAGATTCCTCAGTACCCTGGGCTCCAACTTTCTACTGAAACAAGCCTGTGAAGGGACAAAGAGTGAATGGAATGGTCACTGAACTGATGATCCTTCTAAATCCTGAGAAGCAAATTTGTATAGATAAGGTGTATTATGCCTGAGGTGTCTTCCAGTGTAAAAGAGGTGGAGAGAAGGTTACCTTATCCTCCAGCTCTGTGCAGGCCTTGAAAGATGGTGATTGCTCCTGATCTTTACCCTCCCCCCTCTCCTAGAGATCAAGGGCTTGAAATGAACTTTGAAACCTAAGAGAACAGGTTCAGCAATGGTGCCTAAGATTCCTAACCCTGTTTAAATTGAGGTCTTTTGACAATAAGGCTGAGGGTTATCAGCAGTTCTGGCTTCTTCTTTTCTTTTGTCTACAGGAATTACTGAACCCCATGTGATATACAGACGAGATAAGGGAAGCTAATTTGTGTCCTGAAACCTCACAAAAGTTCACTTTGTAGAGAAGCAAAGTGATTAAAAGCAGACAGCCTGCATGACATCTAGGTAGAATGAGACCAGTGCTCACAGATGCCACAAACAGTGTCAGAATTTAAATATGATGATGCAGATGAATGCATTAAATTTTCTCAGGGTATTACACAAATTCAAAAGTTTATTTTTATTATAATCACCGTTCTATTTATGTTTACTAACACTTTCAAACCTCAAAAGTGCAGAAATACTAAATCTTAAATTAGATATTCTCATGCCAATTATTAATTTTCTTTTCCTGTGATGACTAATCAACAATTTCCCCAGGCCCCCATTTTTCTCAGCCCAAAATAAGAGCTACCAATAAGGGAAAAACCTAGAACACATAACCATTGCCTGCCTTAAACACAATCCCCTCCCTCCATCACCTTCTTCCTACTGATGAACACACCTGGACCTGCTGCCTAAGGCTTCTTTCAAACACATTTTCCTTGCTGCTTGAGTTGCACTGTATTTCCAAGGATTGGCTCCCCACTTTGAGATTCATCCTGGTAGTTTSCTTCTAAGGGGCACCTCTGGTTCTTTAAAAATCTCTTGGTGGTTTTCCCCATAAGTGAGGAGATCTATCTTGTTTTCTGGTCACTCTTCCAGTCTGTTTTAGCACACTTCCCTCCTGCAGAAAAGAAGTCTGAAACTGAGGGCAGGAGGACAGCCTACAAAAGATTTTAAGAGCACATATGTATGAGCACGCGCACTTTTTTATTCTCTT